GTTGGTAGAAACGAAATCCTGGTCTGGATTTGTACTTGCTGTACCTGAAATACCCAACATTAGTGTATGATGTGCAATCCAGTTACAGAGAGGCAGGTTGTTAATTAAAGCATGATCTAAAGTGAATGTAAAAGAAAATGTAAAATCCATTCCTGGAATGGAGTACCGTCCATTTGTCTGCTGTAAACATGTAGCATTGTGACTGGTAATTCCCTAAAATTACTATTAAAACTTTGGAAAATTAGCTAGGAATTTCCCTATGAGCCAGTACAGTAGAATTTATGATGAATGTTTTGTAGTTTTGTTTAAGCCATTAACCCATTTTATGAGAAGTAAATACCAGCTCAACAGAGACGTATGTGTGACGTATATGTGATCCATCCATTCATCCATCCATTCATCCATCCATATATAAGTCAGGGGTTCACACTGATTCCAGTCTTATTCAATATAAAGTTATCATTTTCATTTCTCTTCCTCATGACACAATCATTGTCATATATAAGGTACAGAATTAATAGTATTTGTGGCGGCTGTTTTACAGAATTACTGTACAACATAATTACTGCACAATGTTTAAAATTTCTTGGTTGCACATACAAGGTTTCTTACTAGGTGTCATGGACGTGTGAACAAGGTATTAAATGACTCTCCAGTACTGCAAACACTAGAAGCCAGGGTTTGCACCAGAGGACGGCAGGAGGGGTGTTTTAGGGGGGCCCTCCTAAAAATATTCTTTAGCCTCCCCCACTACGAATAAATGTACACAAATAGAATAATATGGGGCATTTCCATCAGACCCCACAAGTAAAGACTCCGCCTCCCATTTTCATAACTGTCTAGCGATGCTTCTGAGGCCAAACATTTGCTAAAGATTGACAAACCTGACAGGGGGGGCTGTAGCAACAGCTGTGGGTGTCAGAGCCATGCAGGGACTTTCACACAGTGTCACAGTTAGCATTAGGGGTTGGGTTGCGGACTAACCCCCGCCCCCCAGTATGTTTTGCATGATCGTTCATGATCGAAACCGGGCACTCAGTAAAATTTGCTGACTACGGGTTCACAGGACTCAGAAGGGAAGCACTTCAAAGGCCCACGGAAAGAGGTCGTTACAAGACCCTGGGTGGAGCTGCAGAGTGGAGCCTTTGAGGAGGATATAGACCTTCAGGTTTCACCTCTAGTACATCTTTATCCTGCTACATTTTTATAGTCATTTCTGCTGCAGTTCGATATTCAAAGTCCACGCCGCACACACCGATTACCTCGCCGGAGATGTGGCCTGTTTTTTTTAAACAACCGCACGCTCTGGTGTGGCGTCAAGACTGCCGACTGGTGCCAGAGGGCGTTATATCATCGTCAGTCAAAAACCAGAGCACTGGGTCAAAGGGCTCCTTCGTTCATCATCTGATTAGTCATAAACTGGGAGAATAGTCTGTAAAAGCAGCAATGGCGTGCGGTGAAGCCCAAGCATGGGTTCAAAGTTCACAGCCTACGTGCATCTATGCCAGGGTTCTTCAAGTCATGGTTCTCAAGGTCTCAGCACTGATGACTTTCCAGCCTTTTTCAAGCCTCTGCGACCAATCAGAATCGGTAAATATTAAAATACCTGCCTGGGAGGACGGAAAACACGGCCTGGATTTGGAATCTAGGGCCAGGTTTGAAGAGCCCTGATCTACATAGAATGACACCACGGAGCACTTACGTGGGGGGAGAACAAACAGGTTAAATGTTTGGTTCAAAGGTGCAAAAGCGATTCCTGGGAGCAGCATGTAGCTCAGCAGGCTAAGTCTCTGTCCCTGTTATCAGAAGGGTGCTGGTTCAAGCCCCTGCCTTGGCAGAACTGTCACACCCGTGGGCCCCTGAGCAAAGGCCCTTAACCCCCAGCTCCACGGACGCCACTGCAGGTGTCTGCCCTTTGCTGCCAAGCTGGCTCTCACTGATATATGTGTGTTATGGAGAGTAAGATGGAGAGTAAGATGGAGAGTAAGATGGAGTAGGTGAAAAGACAATTTCCTCATGAGGATTGATAAAGTATCCAAGCTAAAATTCTACTAGCCTTCTGTGCCCTTCCTTAAAAACCATGACAGCTGCTTGTCATGCCTTTTAAATAAAGAACAGTGACTCATAGACAAAGTCGGGTTCAGCTGTCATGCTTATATTGCACCAGGAACCCCTTTGTTTAAAAGCACCTTCACCTTAGAGAATAACCTGATAAAACGCCTCCAATTGTCAGCACGGGTTCCATCGCGGTTCCACTAAGCACCAATCCAAGGGCTAGAAAGTTCAGTTCCAGAAAGTACAAATCCAGACCAAGGTTTTGTTTCAACCAACCAGTTGAGTATAAAGAGTCACAGTCACAGAATACACACCTGGTTGGTTGAAACAAAATCTTGGTCTGGATTTATACTTTCTGGACCTGAACTTTCTACCTCAGATCAATCCCCATATTGGTACTTTAACAATGATCAATGCGATATGGACCGCAGTTTATGGTTACATTTCCTAACGCAGAAGAGCAAACCAAACGTGGCACCAATCCTTGCAATGGGATGCACTGCATGCCAAACGAGAATGCAAACACAAACGCATTTACGCAAAGACAAACACATCAATTCCGCTTTGATGAGACTATTGACATGGTACCGTATCATGAAGAGACGCAGATGAAGAGGCACACATGAAGATCAAAGGCATGTGCAACACAAGGCGCTATCTTCCCATCGGTGTACCACATAGCTGTAAGCTGAAGCTGTTAGATTAAGAAGAATAGAGATGACCTAAAACAGGTCTGGTGCCAAGCAAACAAATTGCTACAGTGATAAGGCCAATGATTCTTTAAATAATCCACAATGGCCCTTGCTTCAACCTGTAAAGATTCAAACTGTTTGCTTCATAATTCAGGCATACTTAAATCTAACATACAGAAGTCAGTTGGAAGTTTATTGATTGCTGAAATGCCACAATGCTTTCATATATCATTTATCCACAGGAGTGAAAGCAGAGACTCCAATACACTTTTATCGCATCCCACTCTAGGGTTTTTTTTGGATGTTCTCAGGAATGTAAACACTGACTACACGAATGTGCACGCCGAGTGACCCCTCGCAAAGAGTGTGTTGGTGCAGCCTAGAAATTGCAGTCCTGCATGTACCAATCAAAGGGCTAAACGATCGCCCTGCCAGTTCAGGAGCAGTTCCAGGCTGTGTTTGAAATGTCCACTTGTTCGTTCGTTCGTTCGTTCGCTTGTTCGTTCGCTCGCTCGCTCACTATAGAACGCTACATAGAACATTCCCCAGGGATTAAGGGCAGACAGCGTTTGACACATTTCAGACATTAGCCGGATGTTACACTGCTGCATAATTATGCACCGGATATTTATATTTGTTACCTCTGTTATATTATATGTCACCAGAACATGGACACTAACGTTGTTATTTTTGGATAAGTAAATGATATAATTCATATGTGTCTTCACAACAATGAAATAAAAATAAAACAAAACCTTACGACACAAATCTGTGCACCTGTAAGTTTATTTACAACCTACTTCACTGTACTGTATCCACCTACAATAACTATGCATGTTTAACATACCGTATTAATTGTGAATTAGAGATACCCATGTAAAGCAGTCAAATACATTAAAATACCTGTTTTTAAAGCAGCAGTAGCTTTGGTATTGTTATTATACCTTACAGGCAAGTATGTCATAGGCAGCCTACTTTGTATTAATTAGCACACTGCAGTGATGTTCTTTAGAACAAGCTTTGGGGTTTTTGACACTCACGTAATAGGCTGCAATGCATGATGGTCTAAGCTTCTGTGCACTATGTGTCGGTGTGCCTCACACCAATTTGTAGCGCACAATATGGTGGCTGAAATTTACCACTGCGAATTCGAACAGCACTACAAAATGGCCGACTCACCACGTAGTGCACTATATAGTGGGCAAGTGGATATTTCAAAGACTGTCTTAGTCTTTAATGCCACTTATAATACTGTCTGAGTTTAAATATGATGTCTAACTTGTTTTACCAACAGAGCCATTGAAGTCAGAGCCCTTTGCCCAGAAGAGACTGTGCTCTTCTGCGGGCTCCATCAACTAAACCAACACCATACCCATGACTTACCAACTGGTGCACAACACCTGCACCTTGTAATTTGATCTATTTTCAACTAGCGATACCAAGACAAATGGAAGGTATGTTTGTAGAACTGACTGCCTTCAAGAAATGGCACCATCTGAACCATATTGTACTAGTTAGTACAGTATTAGACCTTTTAACATAACCTGTTTGGCTAATCGAGATACTGGAGACAAACAGAGGTGTGTTTGTAGAAAGACTGGGCTTTTTGGAAACTGCTAGCAGATAAAACACTGCTGTAGGTATGGAGTGTGTGCGAATAGAGGAAGCTTCCAGGAGGAAGAACTCATCTTGTCTCAGTACAACCTGTAAACATGCCTGATGTTTTGCATACTTCACTGCAGCGGTGGCACTCAAAGGCGGCGCAGGAGACTCGAACTTCGAATACGTTTAGCAGAAAAACAACAAAAATGGGAGGAGAAAAAGCCGAGGATCTACTTGTCAAGCAAAATACCTACATATGACAACTGGTAGAGTGTCAGTGGTGACAAGGTTAATCTAATTTAGCTAATAGCTAAGCGCATAATCATTTTGTGTCTAATTAAGTAAGACGTTGAAAATGAGCAATTTGTGGTTAGAGGGCGAAGGTGAACGTTAGTGCTGCATTGTGGGTCTTAATTATAAAGCAGAAATGCTGCTTCTTATGGACAGATTCTACAGATACAACAAAGGGCAAGACCGTTGGTTGGCCTGGCGAGGCCAATACAGGTATATGCAAAAACATACAAAACACTCCCCGAGCATTTATTCGGGAAATGACGTATCCTGCTCGGAATGTCACATGTCAGCATTTTTAAACTCCTGTTCAAAACAAATTGGAAGTGATCCAATCCCAAAAACACATTTACATTCACATTTACATAACTGGCAGCTGCTTTTGTCCAAAGCGCCCATAGGAGTGAGTCAAATAACACATTACAAACATATGCACTGCCAAAGAGCCGACTTGGCGTAAATGCAGCTAGGCTGAGCTTCCAATGAATATACGGGTAAGTGTAAGCAGTTCACCCAACACTTATTCCAGAACAAAAGAATACAGGTGTAGTCTTCTAATTATTTTTTTAATTAGAATCAATTAATTAAAATTAATTTTTGAGACTAAAATACACTCAGATTCAATCAAACATAGATACACAACAAAGGGGCAAAGCCTCATACGCAATGACGCACAAAACTGCCGACTTACTCATACAGCGCGATCGTGCACCTTCTGACGTACACAATAATAGATGCACAAACACATTCCCGTTCTCAATAATACACACTGGCATGCATACTGATGTAAACGATCTTTCCCCATCACTGAACCTAGTGGCAGTATATGGACTGACCACCAAGAATGGAAAGACTCAAGTCACAGATACGCCATCACTCCGCCATTTCCCTTCCCATGTCATATTAGCGGTTAGCTTAGCACGTGATTTCAGTTTGGGTCCTCATTTGTGGTCCGTAAATGTACTCATAAGCTGTTTACCCAACTAGTACATCAGTGCAGATCAGTCGGCAAGCTGTTCTATACCAACTAGTAAACTGTACCGACCGTTGTTTGGAATTCCATCTCATATCCCTTACGAAAATTAACCATGGTTTTACTATGATTAAATAACCATGGTTTACAATGGTTTGCCGTTTTTCATGTTTTTTTTGGGTAACTATGGAAAACATGACTATGGTTTTATCATGGTTTCGCTACAGTTAAACCCTAGTATAATCTTGGTCATAAACAATGGTCTTTGTTTTACCATGGTCTTTCCAAACCATGGTAGTACTATGGGTAGTACCAAAGTACCATGAGGTACCATAGTAAAACTATGGTTACTGCATAAAAACCATAAGAAACCATAGTGAATTTTAGCCTGCTCTGCCGCTACCAACACAGTTTACATGCTCTTCTTACCACAGAAAAAGCGTCCATAGCCTATATGTTCACAATCTGATATCAAAATCTATCTCTCAGATTTGGGAAAGACAATATACTTTACTGATTATTAAAAATCCAAATTCAATGTGAACACATAGTGTAAACCCTCGGTGGGCCCTATTTATATCTGTAATGAATGTATTACAATTTTATTTATCTGCGTTTGGTTTACATTGCGCACCTAGGCATTCTGGCGGCGCGCAGCATGTTTGCGGAAAGTCACAACTGAACATCAGTGCAACAAATGTTGGCAAGTGGCCTCATGAGCCATGATCCAAGAGGTTGCTTTCTGAAGGGAGAATGAAGGTAAAGACTATAATATAATATAATATAATATAATATAATTAATATAATATAATATGACCGATAAACTGACTGCTTACAATGACGCTAAATTGCAGTAACCCGTTCCCACCACAGGTATGCGCTGCCGACGCCAGAGACAGCTCGAGACCTCAGCCGCCGATCCCTCGGTTCTTGTAAATCACGTGACTGTCACCTCATACAAACTAATGGCAGGAGCCCAAACGGGTGTGATAAACAAGGAAGGAGTTCTCGACAAGGTGGAGTTTGTGCCATTCGCACGGTGGCAGAAGAACTGCCCCAACGGTATTGTTTTGACTGTAGTCAAGGCTTTTTTTTGAAGTACCTAAATTAAAATTTTTCCTCCAGATGTTTATTGCCTGATGGTAATTATTTATATTTGCATAAAGCACCATGAGTAAGGGAACTTAATTATGCGCACAGAAATAAGTAAAGGTGACCTGCTCACATAGGTAATAATAATCCCCTCTTCTTTATCAACACGAACACTGCTAATCGTCTTTAGTGTCAGATAGTTATTAGAATGTCTGCGAAAATAGAAGAGTATCTGGAAAACTCCTTAAATAACCTTGTCCTGATGATTCACTCATGTTTGTGGAATGGGAGGCAGCCCCCATGACTGATGTCGCCACTGGTGTCCCATTACGGTATAATGGGCTTTCGTTAAAATTCAGACATCGCAGCGCTGAATCACACGAACAGACTCCAGCGACCAGCAATTAGCAGGCGAAGAAGCTAAACCGTCTGGCTTGGGATCGACAAAATCATTGACTCATTGTCTTGTTTGTGTCTTTTTTTTTATTCATCCATCCGCCTTTTACACCAGGGCTATTCAAACCACGGTCCTCAATGTCCGAGTCCGGCTGGTTTCCTAGCCTACCTTTACCTGTGATCAGGTGTGAAGCCTCTGTGGCCAATCAGAACTAGTAATTATTAAACTAACTACCCAGGAGAACCGAAAACAAGGCCTGGATTTGGATCCGAGGTCCAGAATTGCAGAGCCCTGGTCTACACCAATGACCCAGTATTCATCCAGTTATACCTACATAAATCATTTCTTTATTTTTCCCAGTTGCTCGCCCACAGTAAGCTGTCTCTTTATGGGGTACATGACTTTATGACGCTAATGTTTATGTTGGCTCCGGCCCTACATACACTACATCAGTGTTTCCCAACCCAGTCCTCGGGGAACCCCGGCCAGTCCACGTTTCTGCTTCCTCTTTGAGCAAAAACGTGGACTGTCCGGGGTTCCCCGAGGACTGGGTTGGGAAACACTGCACTACATTACTCGACTGAATTGTGGACGCTGGACAGGAGTTATTTGAATTTCACCGTACTTTATATTCCAACTCAAATAATATTAATACAATGTAATTTTATTAATTAATGAAGAATTCAGTTATAACACATTACAGGACATGAGTATTTGAACAGGAGTAAATGTGGCCTGCCCCTTCACCTTAAAGAACCAAGAAAATGGAGCAAACTTATTTTTTGTTTGTTAAACGAAAAATGGCACAAGCGCAAATGAGCCCAAATTTGTTAAACTGTAAGGTGCATTACTTCAGATTAATTCAGCACAAATAAGCCTACAAGTTCAGTACTTTACATGAAACTGCAGGCAAGAATCAGCTTGAGTATATGGAATTTGTTTTTTTGTGTAATTGGTCAGATTAAAGTAAAATACATTTATAAAAACAAACGCCACTTAAAGCAACGTGGCTTATTTAAACCACCATCACTGAAATGAACGTTATAAAAAATATTACAGCAAAATCAAACAATGTGGCAAATGACAATAGACCAAGGAAACCAGCACGTGCAATATCACAGTGTTACCAGGCGTTAGTGATGTGGTAACGCAGAACCAAGCAGTTCATCACAATTGAGGGAAGTGCATGAAACTGACGGTTTTATACTGGTAGCAGGAAGTGTTTATAAATGCACAGGCTGTCACCAGAGGTCACGAAGAGTTACTGCCTCTCGCCACCCGCTCTCAGACAGCTTGTTTCCGCTACAAAATGATGTCGTGATATTATCTACTTGATTGTTCGGTTCAGTCAGATTAACACACACACACATGCACATACAGATAAAGAGAAACCAGTTAAATAAATTAGACAAAAATATTTCATTTTGATGTATAAATTTTCTTCCATGAACATGCATTGGATGTTAAAGTGTGATCATAATATTTTTATTAGTGCATCTGTACTACATTTTTTTCCTAGCAGGCACTGCCACTAACAGCCTGCGGAATATTCACATGGTGATCCCCTCCCCCCACCCCCCACTGGCGGAACAAATAAACGAGGGCGCTATGGGCGATGGTCCCCTTTGCGGGGGAGATCAAGAAGCGCATCACATTGCATTGCAAACCACAAGAAACCTAACCAAACAAAACATAGACGCTTTACCAGGCTGGCAAATTTGACTCAACCAGAATGTACAATTTTTCATTTTTCTTTTGACAAAGCTATATAAGTTCATATTCTATATCGTAAGGATATTTCGCACAGACACACGGTACGTCTGTATCGTTTAACCGTTGAGGGTCAGAGGCTTTGCTGGGTCATTTTTGTATGTCTGATTTTGGCTTTACGCTGATTGAAAACGGAACATAAGGGTGGATCCCGTAAAATACTGGACGGGCGGAGAGTTGGGCAGCCAGTTGACCTTGGACCCCCAGAGGGGTTTTTTTTTCTCCCTACTTTGGAGTTTTTTGGTCCCTCTCCTCCGTTGTCACCTTGGGGTGACGGTTGTGCAAGGCGCTATATAAAAATGAATTGAATTTAAAAACTGCTCCGAAAGTCGAGTTAGACAAAGTGACTCGTTACTTGCAAACGATTCGGCCCAAAGAACTGGCTTGGCAACTTCGCCGTAAGTTTCGGCTTCCTTGGAAAAATAACTTCCTGAAAAAAATACAACAGATGTCATGGTAATAGCCTCAACAAGGAACGTCCCTATGGTGTAACCTGAAGCAACTCCGAAATTCATGTTTTTGCAAGCAATTACTGGCATCAAACATAGGTTCCGATGCCAGGATCATACTAAGATATTTGTTTATACAACAAGGTTCACACAGCATGTAAGGACCTCGTACTCTAAACTGTTTGAAATGAATCCATTACTAAATGGTCAACTGGTAATAAAATATACTTTATATTGGTCCCAGTGGGAAATTGTTTAATAGGTCTACACTTAGACAAGTTATACGTTGCGAGTTACCTTATGGCAAAGCTTTTCAATTACGCACAATTTAAGGAAGACATTGAATACTTTCTGACTTAAATAGACCTATTGTGCATTTACAGCCCATTTCTGGTGTTTAACAGGAACCGTCACGATAAATAAGGTAGGGCCTATTTTTAACGAAATCAATGAAAAAGGAAGAAATGTCGAGCATTTACTAAAACTGGTTTTTCGTATAATCTGCAGCATTGATGGATCAGCACACAGCTTTGTTGAACACTTAACACTAAAGATAGTCCAATAGTTCTAATTTAATAAGATTTCATATTTACGCATAAATGCCGGCTGTATGAATCGCTGCATTGAGCCCGACTAGCTGTTTCGCTCGAGATTGCTATTTAATGCACCGTACAAATGGCAAAACTCAGAACAGCAGCGTAATGCAAGGATAGTATTACAAAGCCATTAAAATGAAAGCTTGGCTTATTCGATCACGATTACAGTACGAATGGAGTCTCATGCATTACAGTAGTGAATTACATTATTTGGCATACAAAAAAACAAAAGTCAGGATGATAATGTGATGATAAGATGGACTCTTATTTCATTAACTAATTATTTACAAGCTGATTGAAGGGTGCCTTTTATAGTTAATGACCTTTGACATAACAGTTCATAAAACTGTTAGTCATCCATTTGGGGGAATCACAACAAAGCAGCCTCCATGATTCTGAACTTACTATGTAATATTTTAAGGTACAGTGTGTTTTGAACAAATGCAAATTGTGACAGTTGTTAATTTAGTAAGGGGGTCACTTTTAAATGCACACAAGAAACGGGAAGGGGTACGAGTCGAAATACGTAAAATCTGGCCGGCGGCAATATTGTCTTCTATTTTTGCTTTTTTTTCCACCTGCAGTGACGGTTGCTGATTGACACCCTTGATTGTCAAATATGTTGCTCTCGTAACTTTTTATTACAGATTAAAATTCTGTAATTGGCATAGCACACCGGATATGAACTCTAAAGCATACGGGCGCAGCTAAGCCTCTTGCAGGAGTGTGAGAATAAGCGCAAAGCCAAAAAAACGAGCCGCGTCGCCAGCAAATTATGCACCGCCGGACACACCCTATCTTTCCGCTCCCAGACGAAAATAGATCTAGCAAAAGAGGAAGCGGTGTGAATGAGTTCCGCACTGTCATAGCGGCATCTAGTGGAAGAAATAAGGTATTGTTCTGTGTCAGACCCTTTTTATGTTGTATTCACCAGTCTCATAACAACTTATTTAGTACAGCAGGGGTAGGGAAACTACGGAGCCCCTAAGGTGACAAAGGAGCAGAAAAAAACAACAGAAGGAAAAAAGAAAAGTAATGTTTTGCGATATAACCCAAAACTTTTGCGTTATAACCCAAAACTTTTGCATTATAAACCAAAACTTTTGCTACATAACCCAAAACCTTTGCGTTATAACTTAAAACTTTTGCGATATAACCCAAAACTTTTCCGTAGTAATGCAACAATAAAATCAGGTGTCTATCGTACTTTTGGTCATTCAAGTACAACTTCCAAAGCCGCTGTTTGCATGATGTGGTTGATCCCCGCTTCGCTTATTAATCTAATTTAACGGTTAAAAAAACTTTCAGTGTTTCAGAGTTCAGTGTGGTAAGATTTGATTGTTTAATTCATAATTAGTCATTTGTAAAGCAAGCCTTGGTAAAGTACGTTTCAGTAACATTGCTAATTAATGCTTATCTGTTGAGGTTGATTTAAGCCTAAAGAATTGATCCTTTTTTGTTGTTGTTTCATGTTTATAATAAATTAATATAATTAATATAAATCAAACGCACATCCTCTTTTTTCACATGAAGTCCATTTATTCTGCATTTTGCATACATCCATCGATAACCATGAAGCTGCCCAAAGTGCAAAAGCTGCTCACGAATAAATTTAGTTAATTACATCACCCAAGTCGGAGTAGTTTTTCCGTTGGAATAATCCCCTTTCACATAAAATCCTCTTGATCTGCCTCAGATTTATGTGAACATCA